GCATTTAGTGGAATAACCTCCACCACCCTGACATGGGGAAAGCGGCGGGCGCGGGACCACCCGCCGTCACTGACACAACAATCTCAGTATCGCGCTACAGGGTAATTACGCAGAGCGAGCGTGATCTCGCAGACGATATGTAAATGCGGCGTCATTGTTGCACCTTTCAAGAAACGCTACACACAAAGACCCTCCCCGCTGGCCCGCCCCCTGGTGCAAGAATAACAGAACACAGGAACAGACCATGTTGCTCTAATGCATGGTTTGCAGTATACGCTGCATCGAGTCCGCACGAAGAGAAACTCCAATGCGCGGGGGGATATTCAATAATAAATTCGGAAAAAAAACGGAAATTAAAATAATTAATCAGAGAAGTTGTGTTAGCAACCGAAATTACGTAATCTTGCATTACTTGTGCTGGCCGAGTTTGAGAAACACAGCCGCCCCTCCCACCTTTACGCGAACACCCCCGCACTCACAAAGTGCGTCGAGCTGTTATAAAGGGGCGATGATTGTCAGCGAGCACAATAATCAGTTAAATGACCCCCTAGGTGGCGCCCGGTGCTAGGACAAATTTCGCCTACCGCTGAGATGCGTCTCGCACTCGATTCGTCGGCAACGGTTCGTTGACAGCTTAATTAAAACTGGGGCTGAAATTAACAAACACTGCCAGTCGCACCATCTGATCGGCTGCACGACAAAGCTGCCGCCAGCAGGCTGTCATGTTCTGACGTGATCGAATTAGCCTCTAGTCAATTTTAGCGGCGTGCTCTCAAATCGCGATATATGTGTATAATTCTGCGCAAACGGCGACACGCGTGCGAAACCTGCGCCACAACAAAGACGTGCCCGAACTTTCACAAATGTAACTATAGGAAATTTCTTAGGCCCATGCTCTGTTCGCAGTATATGGTGATACACATTATGCCAATTTATTCAGATATATAGTCAGTCATATAGCATGGCGGAGAGACGCCATTCAACTGCTATAAATTAATGAATTATTGTAATTATAGCATGAACATTGTATGCACTAATGATGCTAGAGCAAGAAAGAGAAAGTGCGTGGAAAAGAGAGGGGCGAAACAACTTTTTTGTGTTGATATGTTAAATTATTAGATACAATTGCATGAATAACCAGATAAACGTTTATACTTATACATTTATACAGGTTTACATTTTTACTCGGCATAATACTACAGTCTCGTATCACAGTTATCATCAGCGAAAAAGTCCAAATAAGGATACCGTTAAACAGTAGGGGAACCCGGGGCAAAGTGGACCGAAGAAATTTGGTTGGCCAAAACGCTGTGAAAGAGCGAGACAAAGTGAAATGTTTGGCTCTAATCCTTTGGCTTAGGACAAGAACTAACAGGCGGTACAAACAAAGTTTATTTAAAAAACGACTTTATTGAAATATACAAAATTATAAAATTTATAAATATTTCATTTTGCCCCAGACTCCCGGGGCAAAGTGAAACCTGTTATGGGGCAAGGTGTAATGTCATTTTACTCCATGTATATTGTGTCAAAAATGTTGCGTCCTCTTTTAGTGTCTAACTCTGAACATCAAATTCATAGTTGCGTACCATTTTGCCTAAAATATGAAAGAAAAATGCCATTATAAGACGCTTATACAATCATTAAGTCTAGGGAAGACACAGTTATGCCAATGATACCGAGTTAGGTGTTAAAATGATGCAAAGACAGACATATAGGCCTACCTGCTACTGAGAGTACTAATTCAGATCATAATAAATAATCTGATAAAAATGATATACAACTAGGCCTATCAAATATGGCCGGGGCAAAGTGGAACCCTGTTCCACTTTGCCCCATCCACTTTGCCCCGAACACATAATAGTTTCTAGACATGTGGCGTTACGCTGTGCAGACAACTACGCAAAGAATGTCATCATGCATATAGCACACATAGGCCTTAGATTCAACAAAATAGCCTACATAAGAATTCCACAAGATCACAGTGATTTAGCAGATGATTCATTTTTAAGAAACATCCGTTTAAACACATAAAAAACAGACTTTCGTCCAAAAAAATGCACATAGCTGATTCATGCAAATGGCATCCATCAAAAACGATGCATCATCAACTGAGCTTCTAATGAAAACAGTCACAGATAGATGGGGGCATCAACATAGATCTGCTGAGACAATTCCACTTTGCCCCGTGTTCCGGGTTGCCCCGGGTTCCCCTATATATATACTCGCTTTTCTCCGTTTCTTTCCCTTGCTCACTTCCTTACTCCCCTCTCGCGGATAGTATCGCCCACGGTATCAGTCGCACGGTGAAAAGTTTGCCAGCCAAATGTATGGTGTTCCAAAGTTGCCATCGCGCGTCGTGCGATTCAAATGTGCGACGTCGCGCACGACGTCGCACATTTCTGTTCCATAATTGCCGTCGCGTCGTGTTTTTTATTCCTTCTTCAACCACGACGTCGCCCTTGTCAAACACGACGTCGCGCATTTTCAAACGCGACGTCGCCCTTTTTCAAACGCGACGTCGCCCTTTTTCAAACACGACGTCGCCCTTTTTCAAACGCGACGTCGCCCTTTTTCAACACGCCGACGTCGCCCTTTCACGCGGGTGAGGCGACGTCGCCGCTTTTTATAACCGTGTTCATAATGCATCGCGCGGCCGTGCGGCCCATACTATTTTCTCTTTCTCGGGCGCTATACATATACACATGTATAATATATATTCATTATATACGATCATATATAATAGTATATTATATATATATATATATTATATTATTATATTATATAATATATAGGCCTATATATATATACTCGCCTTTCGCCTTTCTCCGAGGAATGCAGACGCATGCAGAGCCATATGCACTATGTTTTTTGTCATTATACGCTCCTGATACACATGTATATATATATTTATATATATATATATACTCGCCTTTTTCCGTTTCTTTTCCTTGCTCACTTCCTTACTCCCCTCTCGCGGATATAGTATCGCCCACGGTATCAGTCGCACGGTGAAAAGGTTGCCAGCCAAATGGCCGTATTTCAGCCAAAACTTTTTCAACTCCCGAAGCACAAAATTTTAATTTACGATTATAATACACGCGGACGCGTGCGTGCGGCCATACCCACGTGTGCGCGTCCATTAGTGGGTGTGTATGTGTGTTTGTGTGACTGTAACACACGCGCAGACAAACGCACTTACGGCACAAACGGCACACACACACCGGCACGGATGCACATATTCCTTCTAATATATAGTTACTTCTCTCGCCCTCCCGCTCACCCTCTCCTTCTCCGTGACTCTCTCTCTCTCTCGCTTTGTCTCTGTCTCTCTCTCTCTCTCGCAATATTTCTCGTCACACACACGCACACGCGCACGCACACACACACACACACGTGCGCGCACATGCGTATATCTTACCCTTTATACCTTTCAATGACAAAAAAGAATAATTAAGGACATTTAAGGACAAAGGACAAAATTCAAGGGTTGTGGGGGCTCTGTAGATCATGTCCTCTTGTAGGGGCAGATACACTGCACTGTCCTATGTATGCGTCAACGACTGTGGCGTTATAGACTAACGATGAACATCCGTGTCTTCGCACGCGTGCGAAATATTATCATGTATGTATGAGCCATCTGATGTAGAAAATTATCTCGTAAAAACAAACTATCATGTGGAATCAAAATTGACTTTGGCGATGCAATCTATTAATTAGTTCATACTAAGACGCTATGATTCGTATCTTGCTGTAATCTAATATTTTCTTTTTGGCTCCATTTGTATTAATACGAAGCTTTTTTTTCGTTGCTCAAGTCCCGTTAAAAGCTCCGTAGGTTACAAACCCAAACTACTTCATTCAGTTCGACAAAGATAACCAAACCAATTGTGGAAACTGTTGTTAACAGGTTAATTACATATACTTACTATAGTCCTAATTCTTATTATTTTGGCAATTACACATATAGCCTAAATAGTGTAACCACAACTGTAATAGAAACAATACTATATACAGAAAACCACCATACCTCATATAAGGAAACGTTATTATGTTTATTGCATAGTACCATAAAGTATTGAAATGTTTATATATAAACTATCTACGTGTAAAAAACCTTGAATATAAATGCTCAGTAGATAACTATTTATACCGTGTCACACTCGAATAATCTAGTGCATTGCTATTGCATATAATTACGATATACAGACAAAATAAATCGAGTAATACAGGACGTTTCTGTACAATTCAATTACTGATGTTTGTGACACGTCTTCATAACTTTTTCTGAAACGTCAACAGCGACAATTTCTTACCTTACAGGCCAAAACAGATAGAAGCTTAAGATTAATCCATTAAATGCCCAATTCACAGTATAAGAGCCATCTTATCTGCAACATCTGCTAAGCATTTAAAACCTTTGATGAGTTATTTCAAAGAATTGATAGGAACAACTACCAAAATCCCATCGGATTCTGTAGTTAATTGCCTATATAAAACTATGCTTCCTGATACAAAAAGTAGTTTGTAGTTGCCTATCACAATCTGAATGCCTATATATGGCATCTACATCCGTAATTATCAAACCTTGTACCATAGATAAACACATAAGCTGCGCGAGATATGCGATTATGTGATTATGCTGGGAGTACTGTACCCTCTATGATATATATCATGCACAGCATACAATATGTAGCTTATATTTTATATACTTGATACGCATAGGAGATTTCTTTTCCAAAAACGTTTATAAAAATATAAAAGAGGCGGATATAGATAAAACACCAATTACATACTAGACTATGTAAATAACTGAAATGCCTATATATGGCTTCTGCATCCGTAATTTTCAAACCACGATCTTGTAGCCGCCGAAAAGCTGCGTGAGATATGTGAATAATATGATGAGGGGATATTATATCATGCACAGCATACAATGACCCTAACACCATTATGTAGCTTAGATTTTACATACTGATACGCATATTTATTTTCCAAAAACGTTTATAAAAATATAAAAGATACGAATATAGATAAAATACCAATAATTACATACTAGACTAGGTAGAAAAGTATAAAAATGTGCATCACCAATAGCAAAGCGCTGCTAACACTTCAGCTCGCATAGGAGGAGAAATCACGTGCAAAATTTCGTTTTCTGTGCGATCTATATACGTATATTTTTTCGATAATATTTTGGACCCAAGATTACCCAAATGCATAATCCACGCTCCGAGACTCCAGCTGCACAATATTTGCATGCAAGTTAGACCCCTGCGACTTACGCGGATAATCTCACTTGTAAATCTTTTAGTAGCACATAAATGCACCTGGAAATCTCTTGGTTAAACAAGGCACACATCTCGCGACTCCCGTCGAAATGTTATCGCGGGCCGGCGGAAGTTGCGGCATACACTACTATAACATCACTATAAAGTACCTACGCAATTTTATAGATATGTTTACGGAATCACAGAAGAGAATATTCACTAAGAAAATCAGAAAATTTCTTTAACAAACATATCAGATGTATATTGTACATCATGACCAAATCTCTTTGACTTGCGTTCATGAAATACTACATTACTACAATAGCCTCTTCTTATCTATTTATACACTGACTAATGACTAAACTTTGCCCAAATGACCAAAGCTAAAATTATTCCCAACTTTAACATAGAAATTTTGGCTAGATTTGAGTACATTTCTAGGAATTCGTTTTATATAAACATGGTAAAATAAGCTCGTTTGTTGATGCATTATTCATAACCGAAGATTTCTACTCTAAATACGTTACCGCAATTACATATATTATCCACACACAAGAAAGAATGCATCTAATCAAGAGCACATGAACCCTAGGGCGAATACCCCCAACGATACACACTGTAAGACATGTCTTAGTTACAGTGAAGTACGTAACACACGTAGTTCCAACAACGTTCAGTTTTCACCATCGTTCGCGCTCGGTTTACGTGCTCCAGATCTGATGAAAAGCAAATTGGTGTGTACTGCTACTGATAATTTCAAAGGATCTCGAATTACAATAATAATTTCATTGTTCCGCTAATCCCATCACAATACTAAACTATTTGCTATAAAATATTGAATGTATTTTAATCATTAAAATTATTTAAAAAAACATTACACCAAAAGTACAAAAAAGTACCAAAACGACACTGGTATGTAACACCCCCGCAATACAAAACTGTCATGATTACTGGTATATAGACGAAAAGTCCAATTAGAGGGCAACCATTATGCAAAATATCACAATACAACTGCATCAATGTAGGAGACCGTGCTGTATATAGGTGTGCCACCAGGTAATTATCATTACAACACTAAACAGAGGGGAACAGTAGGTGCACGCACACGTCCACGCACGTACGCACGCACGCACGCACGCACGTACGTAACGGTGTATGCTGATATATTATGCAAAAATGCATGCCAATGAATCTGCTTGCCTGCGTTTTCTGGACGTTCCTGCAACCACAGATTTACATAAACAAATGTGTAGTAGACCAACTGTGCAGGATTTATATTATAGGAATATATCCTATATTTATATATAGGATTTATATTAGGATTTAGGTTTGTAGCAGCACTGCATTTCTGGTCTCTCTACTTAAATGTTGATCAATGCCAGCACTTTCGTATACACCCGTGGGTTACGAATAAAACAATAATGTTTTAATACAGGTCACAGCTTTTGATGGTTATAAAATGAGGAGTGTAGCTAACGCATTTTTCATGGAGGTGGGAGCAAAGCCCAAGAGTTTCGCATAGTTTGGAGGCATTAGGAGTTAATTCCGCTTTAATTTACAGGGCTCCTGGCATCGTCTCTACAGATTAGTGTTTTCATCATCACTAAGGTATCCGTCCTCAGCCGCTACACTTCCCGCAGCTTCTTCTGTCTCCTCCTCATCATCACTTAATGAGATTTTAACCTAAAATCAAAGATATAATGGGGTTATACATGACGTAGGTGTACTAAACAAGTGCCGCAGAGCGACAGCGCTCACCTGACGGCAGGTGTTCTGATGCTAAACTCACTGGCAAACGAATGAAGAGCACCGTCCCATCCCCGCGTTCGTGCTCAGAGCATATATCTAGGATACTACTAATACAGATCTAAAATCTATGATAGCTAGGCTTTGCTATACCGGTAGTACAGTAATAAAGATACAGTTGTGACTTCGCTATATTAACATGTTATCATGGATATGTGTCGAGCGCGAGCGTAGTGGTGGTGGTGGGGGGAGAGTGGGGGAGGGGGCGGGTGAAGGATGCTCTAATAGCAAAAGCAGTTGCCGCGAGATGGCGCGTGCAAGTGTCATCAATAATCAAAGATGGGATCACCCTTCGTGCGTGATAACCTCACTCCATTGAGTTGCAGGCAGGGCAGGAGTATATTCAGGCAAGGAGAATTTCGCTCAGCTGTGAGTTAACACATCTGCATTGCAGGTTATTATGATTAAAATAATTATGATTAGAATAGTGCCAGTTCACCCCCATGCATGCGTAATGGGCTGCCCCCATGTTTTTGCCTACACACACGAGCAGTCAGGGTTCATTACAGTGTGCTAATACAGGGTGCTACTCAGTGTGCTAATACAGAGACTGCTTTAGAAAATAATATGATTTAAGGAGCGTAAACCTTGTTCAACAAACATTTGCCTTTGCAATTGTACTGTGCAACTGTAGCCTCACATCCACAATAGCAAAAGCAGTTCAGGCCTTCGTTAACAGTCAACAAATCCATGTTTAACCCTCCTCTTGAGGGTCAAAAGGTTATCCGACACTTACTCTTCGCATGTCAGCAGAAGGGACATTTCATGGTCCTTTCAATAAAGCCATAAAAATGCTAGGTCACCGCTGAAACAAAAAAGTTTTTCAATCGCTCCGTCAGACCATGTCCTCAGAAAATGTCTAAAATCTGCCCTGTGCCCATTGACCTTTGACCTGTGACCTCCAATTTCGGCACAGTGATGGCTTTTCCTACCATGATGCTATACACCAACTATCACGAGCCTAGGTCGAGCCGTTTAGATTTGTGCCGCAATTCTGCATTTCCTCCCTATACCTTAAGTTAAGGAGTGAATGTTCCCCCTTCTTTTACACCTCTTGACCTTTGACCTTTGACCCCCAGCTTCGACATCCCAACTCGTTTTGACGATCCCCCCCAATGTGCCGAATATCGTGACCGTACGTCGAGCGGTTAAGATTTGTGCCCAACTGTTGACGGACGGACGATCGGACGATCGGACGATCGGACGGACGATCAAGCGATTCTACAAGCTGCATCTGACTATGTCAGATGAGCTAAAAAAGAAAGCTATCAATATAAAATCTGGTATAAATCTGGTAAAATAACAACGTGGTGAACTTCACAGCATTATAATTATACTAGGGTTTACTACGGGTGAGCAATTTACTGCAAGACTTACTACTAAAGTCAGGATTTAATTTGAGCTTTTAGCAATCAATTATTACCAACTACATGCATTTGCAAATATTTTAAGCTATAACTTAATCCACAAAACATTCTAAAGTTATACTGCAATATAAGGGATTGATGTCCATGCTCACCACAAAATTAACGTTTAAGACAGGATCAGCTTCGTGATATCATTTCATACATTACCCTGTATATTGGCTCCTTTTTTGGTTCCTCTGTAAAAGCCGGATGAGATGACATGGGCTCTTCATTCCACTGCTGTGTCGGTAGCGTAGGGGGTGCATCTTTCTCGACCAGCTGCTGCGACCGCGGCGAATCGCGTGTGTCATCGTTATCAGTCAATGGAGGGCCTATTGACGTTTCGCTCACCTCCTCTCCTAGTGGTATCAGTACACTTGCCTCCCGGACATCTGGCGCTGCTGCCCCACCATCGACGCTATCATCTTCCTCGTTTTCTAACGAGCTCTGCATGATAAGCACGGTCACATATTTAAGTGTTGTAAGCGTACATGCTTACACTGAATAATTGTTATTATATATATACACACATGCGCACGCACGCACACACACACACACATATATATACATTGCATATTTTCTTGTATCCACAGACCCACAGGGCAATCAGGCTGTTCAACGGTGTGAAAGACTCTACCTAATTAAACACCACTCAGCATATCACATAACGAAACAATCAATTTTGTTACTCTTGTTATTGCCTTGCTGCACCCAGTCACCAGCGTCTATTTGCTTATAGTATGTATAATTATATATTCCTTATTATTTTAATTTATTATTGATTTATTTTATGTTTTCTTGTATTTCATTACGTGTATCTCCATGGCGTAGTGAGGGCGGGCATACAAGGGCGACTCTGCCTCATGCACCTCCGAGTAAGTGTCATCCACGTCACTCAGCTCAGCCTGCGCGAGGGCGCCACTGTGCACCTCCGCCTTCAGGCTGTGGTCCATCTCCAGGTCAGGAACAACTGGAGAAGTCACCTGCAGATGTGTAGGAACAAAGAATATCTATATCTATAATTCACTCCCCTATTTATGCGAATGAGAATGATAAAATGAGCTTTGTTTCGTCATTTTCCATCTGAAATGTTATGGGGTGCACACCGTGCAGCTTTTCCGAGTGGTTGCTTTTCCGAGTGGGTTGCTAACCGCTCTCCAGTTAGTGTATAGAGATCAGTGACTTAGCAACGTTTTCTATAACGGATGTGCTGTGAACTGATCTGTTAGATATCTCTGTATTGTGCCAACAGGTGGCGCTGCAACTGCTACAACTGCCGAAAGGAAGTCGTTGATTTACTTATTCACGAGCCAGTCAGCAAGTAATACCTACCTGAAGGTTTTGCTCATAGGTAGACTTCGGTATGCTCTCGTAATGGTGCTCTTCTGGAACGTAGGAGCGGCGAAGGTACGACCCCGACTCCCTTGGCGAGGTGACGTCAAACGCTGGATTTGCAAACATGTAGAAGCTGTTGTCTGCAGCCAACTTCGCTCCAGTCCCTGCAACAGCACAAACATCTGTACTCGACATACAAGAAATTTGATTATCAGGTATGCGACTGATCAATCTCAGAACGATTGCGGACGCATACAGTTGCCATATGAGACCAGGGATGATGTAAAAGGTCATTATATTTATTGTACTGTACCAGAAGGGTACGTGGAATATTTCATCTTGTAGCGGGAATAGTGCCTGCTTTTGGAGTAACTGCTTTTTGTTTTACTGCTAAACAGTACAAGCCAAACAGTAATTAGAAATGTTTGTCTAAGATAAAAGAATGAGTATAGTAAATGCAAGCGTATCATGGGGACATGATAAGTGCAGTAGTGCTGAAGGGGTCGTTGACGTATCAGGTACTACAGATATGTACCCGAGGTACATGTATGTATACACAAAGTGTACCAGACTTGTACTACAGAAGTGTACCCTAACCCTAACCCTAGCCTTAACCCTAACCCTAACCCTAAACATACCTCATATAAAAATATAAACATAATACTAAACAACCTAAAACTACCTCGGGTACATATATGTAGTACCTGATACGACAACGACCCTTCGTGCGGCAGCATATAGTTTCGAAGTGGAAAACGTACCTGTCTCCAGCTCCATGGCCCCAGCATGGATCTCTTCTACAAGGCCATCTGTTTGGTGGCGTGTAAGGCTGGTGAACACCTGCAGCAATGATGGCAATGCCCCATAATTAAAACAATTAATGTATAAAAACAAATGACCTTCAATTGAATTCTTTCAATCTTCTTCTTTCTCTTTCATCTTCAATTTCTTTGAATATCACTTGCCTGGCGATGAGCACATTTGAGCAGCATTTTTTTTATTCCATAATCACACTAGGCTGCTCAGTCAAGCTATTAGGTTCGTCTTCCAGAAATTTAGGCTATATGGGTGTAGATAGATGGCGCTACTGGGTTCAGATAAACTACTGCTTTTAGCCGAGCGTACAGAGGGAAACACTTTCCCCCGGGCGTAGATGGACGATCACGTGATGTAGGTGCACTTGTGTTAGGATTAGGGTTAGGGTCAGGGTCAGGGTTAGGGTTAGGATTAGGGTTAGGATTAAAGGGAAACACTTTCCCCCGGGCGTAGATGGACGGTCACATGATGTGGCTGCACTTGTGTTAGGATCAGGGTTAGGGTCAGGGTTAGGGTTAGGGTTAGGATTAGGGTTGAGGTTAGGGAAATAAGGCAATGTCTAGCATGAAAGTATGACTGTGGAATCTTTCTGTGGAAGATTTGGACTTTGAAGCATCTAGTATGATCTACACCACCGACGCCATCTTGTCCATCTACGCCCGGGGGAAAGCGACACCCGCGTACAGAGGGCTGACAGTAATGCCGCACCTGGTCAAGATGGGTCTGCGAAACAGAGTAATTCTCCACATGCAGATTATGTCTCGCTAACTCCATGATGTCGAATATCAGGCCGAGTCTGTTGGTCTTCGGAATGCTGAACTCCAAGGTGTTGAACGCGTGATTCTGTTTAGGCAAACGCATTTACTCATAGTATTGTATAAGCTAATGCACTAAGGAGTGGTTGACACCATACAGAGTTATAACCTAATAAGGTATAACCTAATGATGACTAATAGCTAATAAGGTATTATTAACTTTTGACACTGTCTAACTACATAACTTGCAAATGTGAACAGGTGAAAAATAATGTTCAACATAATAAATATGCAATTTAATTTAATTTGCAATTTTAATAAATATGTACATTGTCACATTAGTTTTATTATGATAGATATAAATACATAATTAGAAGATTAACAGCGTGGATTGACGACAGCCAGATGCTATCATTATGTAATAACTAGGGCGACAAACCTTGAAGACACAGCCTGCGAAGTGGCCTCCTAAGAAGGTGACTATCGGCATCACGTCGCCATGGTCACGCTTCATCTTTACTATCAGCGTGTATCCGTCTCCAAACCTACACAAGATGCCACATCACTGTCACAGCAAAGTATGTTCTCCACTGCATTTCTATTGCCTCTCTCTCCCGTCTCCCACCCACCTATCCTTGTGGTGTGGCAAGCTTCCTTTTGTTCCCCAGGCCAACCCGTAATCCCTCACGTACCTGTCCTTCAGATGCTGCGGGTTCCCGAGACACTGGAACTCCCCATTGACCATGATAGCGAGGCGTGTGCACAGATTGTCGCACTCGTCCATGCTGTGCGAAGTCAGCACCACTGAACGATTGTCGCGAATGATGCTGTTTATGTTGTTCCACACCAGGCGGCGCGTCTGTGGGTCCATGCCGGTCGTCGGCTCATCCTTAGAATTGTACAAGCGCAGTGATGCAAGTTCACGGCACGGAAGGAATACTGACTGCTTTATTACTATAGTGAAACTTATCTATCTATATATATATATATTGTAAAATTCATAAATTTGTCATAAAATAAATATACTAACTTAAATAACTTAAATAACCATGAATTTGCACAAAACTTTTAGAAGATTTCTTTCGAGTCTTGATAAAAGTTCCAGCAAAAGACAGTGAGAGACAGTGTGTATGAAACTTGATGAAGACCCATGGTGATATAAATTACATAAATTCTCTCCAGTCAGCAAGAGAACTAAATGCTAGCATAAAGTAGGAATTTGGGCATAGTGTGACACCTACCATGAGAATGAGCGGTGGATCACCCAGTAGGGAGATCGCAGCACATAGTTTGCGCTTGTTACCCCCACTCAACTGCTTTACTACCTTCCCTTTCTGTGTGTACAGGTTGAACCTCTTCAACAATTTCTTGATAATCTGTACGCAACACAAAACAGCAGCAAAACTAAGCAAACGCTCACAGTGCATATAGCTCTAGTATACGAGGAATTGACTAGCAATCTCCCAATATCAAGGATGTAAGGTTCAAATCAGTGAAGAAGGTGAATGGATGCTAAAGGTGGAGACAACGAGTTAGAGATACCTATGACAAATATTTTAGAGAACACTTGACATTAGATCTTGACCACATAATTTTTATTTTGAAATATTGTATCTCATTTAACTGTGACGAATTTTTACTGGAAAAATTAGCATGGCATGAAATTAATATACAGTCACAAAAGGGAAGGGTGGTCGTGACTCGCTTTCCAGATCGCCCCTTAAATGAGACGAATGCGTTCTTGCCATGCCCTTGCGACTAACCTCTTTAGTGTCGTCATGATGCAAGCCACGAAGTCTCGCATAGAAGGTCATCATCTCCTTGCAGGTGAGGTAGCTATCGAGAGCGTTGGCCTGAGGGCAGTAGCCGACAGCATTCTGCATGTTGCTGATGCCATCAGTGATGCTGTCAATAAGGGCAACAGGTTAGACTTGGTTCTAGGAAAAAACGTCCAGGCATCACAGGCGAAAATAATTGATAGTTACTTCTGCTGTCCTGCTCTATTTTGTTAAGAAGCATTCGAGAATAATTTTCGGAACACTTACATACCTGTCAACTAATCTGCTTTATAGGTTGCTAGCCTTTTGCCACAAAACGTGCATAACATTTTGAACCATCTTAATTGCCACTTTTCACTGCTTGCAACCATTGCACAAGAATGTCTAAATCGCTAATATTCAATTTTTAGCTTCATGTTTATCAGCTTTTTTACCTCGGTATTGCCAAAAATCCTTACATTTGATACTCGTGTGAGGGAAATGGTATATACTGGTCTTACTGAGACAACAGTCTATGAAATTTTATTCCACATGCTGGACACACCTTGTGCCGTTCAGTAAGGCTTCTCCTTCACTAGGCAATATGTGTCCTGTCAGCATCTTGAATGTGGTCGTCTTTCCAGCACCATTCACGCCAAGTAAGCCGAAACACTGTAAATATCAGCAATGATTCACTGTAACTTAAGGTGCAGTAATGCTGCTATTAGATTGTCAAAATTGAAAACTAAAGACAACTCTGCACTATAACCTAACATGACCTTGAATCCACTACTGAATCATTTCTTGTAAGCCAAAACAGTGTAAATATAAGCATTGATTCACTCCAAGGTCTCCGGAATGATGAATTAGACAACAGAAATCTTGGAAAAACGTGGATCCATGGAAGATTCTTATGCCCATGCCCATATCTATCATTATGCTATCCTGGATAATCCAGACCAGCATTCACCTCAAGTACGTACAAGAATCCCACTAGATCATAAGATGCACTAACCTCGCCCCGCGGGATACCAACGCAGAGTTTGTTAACGGCAACATTGCGGCCAAGCACGTTCTGGTAGACCTTGGTAAGGTCAAACAGCTTGAGCAGATTGTCCTCGGCACCTCCTGCATGCACGCGCTTACGCTCCATCCGCACGTCCTCATCCTCCTTTATCGCCACCTCCTTTCCATGCTGGCTGCCAAAGCTATGTGGAAGAGAGAGTGATGAGAGATGAGATATGCTGAGAGAGAGAGAGAGAGAGAGAGAGTGGAGAGACATAGAGGGAGAGAGAGAGAGGGGAAGGAAGAAAGAGGAATGACAGGAGGGAGGAAGAGGGAGAGAGCGAGAGAGAAAGAGAGAGAGACCGAGAGAGAGAGAGAGAGGGGGGGCAGCAAGAGATAAAGAAAGAGGAAGGGAGGAAAGGAGGGAGAGAAAGAGAGCAAGCAAGAGAGACAGAATGTTAGAAAAAGAGAAAAGAAAGAAAGACAGAGAGGGCATAATACACAGGAAACATGAAAGTTTGAAAGATGGATGAAAAACAAGAGACAAATAACCACACACACACACACGATCACGTATGAACACACGCACGCACGCACACACACACACACACATCGGACCCTATACACATACACCCTATAACCTAACTAAGCTAATGCGATTCAGTTCACGTTACTGATATTCCCCTTGTAAGTATGGCCACCTACCTGCATCTGCATCCGTTTACCAGTATAACAATGAGGAAGAACACTGTGCCTTGAATGGCCAATGCTACATAGTTCCAGCCAAGCATCTCCATGGTGTATGGAGATTTGTACACGTCCAGACCAAATCTGCAGCAGAACAGAAGTACATTAGCATCCATATTCATTCGTCAATTTAATAAAACTTGCGAAACCAACATAACCAGCATAGGTTCTAGTGCATCTCAAGTCTCACACAATTTATGGTGCTCGTCTGCTGTCACCGAATGTTGTGAAGTGTATACCTCTCAAAGATGTCCGTCTCAACCTGGTTGCGTATGAGTGTAATCAAGCCACCCGCCATGGCATACTGAGGGCACACTAGGAACACACACTGCAGTATATGATGTGCATTCACTAGCGCCTGAAATCCACAATGAGCTCTCAATGAAATACATGGCAATCAAATAAAACATCAATAACAGATTACGCAGGAACTCAAGACACTGAATCCCAATACCAATAAATGGTTGTACATTAAAAACAATTTGGATTTACTGCCAACTTACAGTAAGGTTAACGTTAGCAAATGAAAATTTTGAATGCATGTAATTACCCAAAGGAAGCCAACTAGATATGACAACCAATTAGTTATCATCAAATGCTGAATACGTGCGCCATAACAGCATAAATTAAAGCCAAGTTCACATCTATATAGTGCTACGTGAATAAGAATGCAGCTTACCGGTATCTTGGGGAAGAGACTGAGCAGCAGCACTAGGAACATGGTGTTTATGCCGATCACCATATTGATTCCAAATATCAGCACATATGCGGCACTCGAGTCTCTGAGTACTTTCGCCATAATATACACGATCGGAATTGATGCCCAACTAGAAATAAAATAGCGTACGGTTCATCAAAATATGCTCAGGCTGTTCTCTATATATTCTTTATGCAGTAGCACGACATTGATAAATATTATTCTACCTAAATAAGCCAACAGATGGTGACTATAAATGGCAATAGAATACAATCACACTGGCTTTCATTTGTTACATGTAACTGCACAAGTGATAAGGTGACATCCAGAATCAATCCATCAGTTCGAAATATGAATTAAAATTACAATCAGGCTTTGAATAATTAACTATACGATTGAGATGTATACACACCCGTATAGCAGCAAGAGCAGGGAGATGGCTCCCAAGTTCTCTCTGTCATTGTATTCTGGCAGGCCAAACACGTTCAAAATGACGATAGACAGGGCCACCGAGACAATGTAACAGCCAATGTCAAAGATGAAGGTGGAAAACCAGTACATGCTCCTAGACACCTGCGTGAGACAAAAGCAGTTATGCGCTACTCGTACTGCCCGATGACAATGTTAGATAATTTCGACATGTAAACACACGTTCACACGAGCACGCATGCACATAAGATGTCATGAGCAGGATATAATGCACGACCTATACGTGCAGGGTTGTGATGTCTGGATGTCTGGTAACAGGACAGCACACTACTAATCTTTATTCGTGACATTTGCACCTATTTCAAAGACTTCACGTATTTGACTATATTATAACTGTATTTTTATGTAACTTGGTACGATACTGATGGCTTAACTGAGAAGATATTCTAATTGTGTTTCTGATTCTAATCGACCTAAATTAGGTTGCGACACCCCAACATCACATACTCCATAGACGAACTGCAGCTGAGCCTCCTCGTTGTTTCTCTCCTCGATCGGGAACACGACGAAGGCGGCCGGTATCAACGCAAACGCCACGAGTATCGTGAGAGCAATACCGACGTCGTGGACGCGCCCCTGCCTGTTACGGGTAGTACGCACAAACTTTATATTACTGCACAAGTTTATACCGTCAACACTTCACACCATGACAGCTGGGTACATACAGATGACATACAGATGACCGCAGACAGACAGATGACATATGACATATGACAGATGATAGATGACATATGATACAGACAGATGACAGATGACATACAGACGACAGGTACATACAGATAACATACTGCAAATCTGCATACTGTTCTGCACCATACTGCATATACAAATAGATCTACAACCATGGAATGACAATAGCTGACACCAAACTTCACAGAGCTGTCTATATTAAATAGTAATAAGTTCTAAAAGCACACACGCAAACTTGTAAGTAATTCAACTTGCTAATTTTAGGGTGTGAAGGAAGAGGGTGCCCTTTCACCTTAGTCACAGGTTATAAGTCAATACTATTTAACAGTCTAATACACAATATCGCAAACAACAATTGCATCATTCCTGATAAGAATAGCTGCAAGAGCAATCCTCTCTTCATACTTACAGGGTTTGCCTATTGAGCTGCTCATGGTGCATTTTTAGTGGATGATTATATGTAGTAATGCCTGCAAAGAAAAGAAGTAGTCTTGGGTGCATTTTCCTATTTTCCTACACAACAGTTGGGGAGTCAGGGTCAGGGGTCAGTTCAAGATTAGCAAAATCAATAACCATCACACAATAAGTGACGTTTATAAATATTTACCGTATTCTGAAGGGTCTGCATCCATATCTTTGATCTTCTGCCTCAAGATGGCATTGGTCATGCCATTAAAGTAGGAAGGGAGGGAATGAAATCCTGTATTGTCAAACCACACTGTGCCACGTGTTCTGATGCTGTCCTTGTTGCTGTCTATGGTGTCACCTACTGTCCAGCCACCAAATCTATTAAAGAACACACAACAAGTGTTTACCCAATTGTAAACAATGAATGGTTTGAAAACAAGGCTGCATTCAGAACATGCAATTTCAAGAAGATATAACCCATCATGCATAAGGCTGCACTAGATTGCAACCAAACAAATTTATGAGGATCACAGAATTCAACAAGTGCCGCAGAGCGACAGCGCTCATCTAACGTCTACTGCGGTGACTCTGTGGTGAAGTGGTGGGATTCTAGTAAACCCTGTTAGTCCCAAATGTGTTCACATACACGCCGAAACAGTGGAATGCACAGGGATGGTATCAAAAACCTTCTCAAAGGAATGTTCGTTGGTTCATAACGATCCGCCATCTCGTGGCAACTCGTACCTTTAAGTGTCTTCAGATTAAAGATGGAAGCTCCCATCGTACGTAGTAGCAACAACCATTTGCAAGACAGAATAGGTAAGCACTCATCCATTTACCTACACAAGCCTACAGGCTACAATAGAGAGCTGCCACCTGTAACTAATTAACGCAGGCAAAAACAACACAGTACCACCACCACATGCACTGACAGTGGCATACGTTACATGTAACACACTGACAGTACAGCATGCCATAGAAATTATACGATTTAAGGAACATACACCTTCTTTAACCAAATTTAGCTTTTGAAATTTCACTGGGACATTGTAGCCTCATACATCCAGGCATGTATAGATCCTACTAGCAAACCCGGCAGTCAAATTCTTTCTAACAGTAAACAAATCCATGTTTAACCCGCCTCTTGAGGGCCAAAAGGTTATCCGACACTTACTCTTAGCATGTCAGCAGAAAGTACATTTCATGGTCCTTTCATTTAAAGCCATAAAAATGCTAGGTCACCGCTGAAACAAAAAAGTTTTTCAATCGCTCCTTCAGACCATGTCCTCAGAAAATGTCTAAAATCTGCCCTGTGCCCATTGACCTTTGACCTGTGACCTCCAATTTCGGCACAGTGATGGCTTTTCCTACCATGATGCTATACACCGACTATCACGAGCCTAGGTCGAGCCGTTTAGATTTGTGCTGCAATTCTACATTTCCTCACTATACCTTAAGTTAAGGAGGGAATGTTTCCCCTTCTTTTACACCTCTTGACCTTTGACCCCCAGCTTCGACATCCCAACTCGTTTTCGGATTACCGCCCCACGTCCCAAATATCGTGACCGTACGTCGAGCGGTTAAGATTTGTGCCCAACTGTTGACGCACGGACGGACGGACAGACGGACGGACAATCATGCGATTCTACAAGCTGCATCTGACTACGTCAGATGAGCTAAAAAATATCAAAACCCGTGTGATATGTTTTGGGGCCAGTCCTTACTAGAAGGACATACTAGAAATGAGAAAAATCCGTTGAACCTGAATTGACTTATGGCCATTTCCATTTTTTGCCCAAAAGTGGACGTTGCTCGAAAGTAGGTCGACTGGC